TTGAAAGATTTTATAAAATAAATTTGACTCGACTCGACTCGAAAAAAATGAGTCGAATAGAGTTGGTCTTTAAACTTAACTCGACTCGACTCATTCGGAACTCTAGTTTGAACAGCTCATACAAAACAGCCTATTTCTGCTGTTATTATATACCAGAATCTTAAGAAAGTTAAACTTATATCTTATATATTTTATAAAAAAAACCTGCAATGACAGAAGTACATTGTTAGACTTATCTCAAATAGACTCATGCACATAAAATTGGAGAGAAAAAAAATGGAAAAGAGTACTTTTTTCAGATGAAAGTACTTTTACATAATTTTAACAAGATCGTCAAGAAAAGGTATAGTGTGAATTTAGAGAAGAATTAAATCTAGACTGTATTGCAGTTACTGTAAAATATAGTCTTAATAGAATGTTTTAGGGTGCTTTTTTTAGTATGGACTTGGACTAATTATTCCATTAAAAGGCTCAGTTACTGGTCAAACACATGCTAAGGTTATTAATAGTTATTTTCTCATACCCTAATTGTTTAGCTATTGTGTGACTTGATTATTTACAATTATGGCTATAAACGATTATGCTATAAGTTTTTGAAGTAAGTAGCTTTATATTTCTGAAAAATTCCAAGAAAAAATGAAGTGCAAGGGTTTGTTTATTGTAATAATAAGTGCAAAATTATGTATTATTTATATTATATTAACACGTGATGATCAGCATAATTTTGGCTAAGCAAACTGGCTGAATAATTTTAATCGCCCTCTATATTTGTTCAGATACAATAGATGTGCTATATTATTTATAATTACAGATAATGTTATCCTGATTTTTCAAATTATAATGCTAAGCCTTTATTTTTTTTTTCTCATTAAAAAGAGATATATCTTTATAGTAGATAGATATTTTACATATTCTTTTTGTTTTTAGTAAAAATTACTTTTATAGAAATTGATATAAAACTTTTATTAGATAAGTTCTGAATTATCTCTTTATTTATCAAATTACTTTAAAAGTATATAAAATAAAAGGTATATTTTAGAAATTTTTTTATTACAATCTTATGAATTTATCTCTATAGTTGTAAATTTATTTAAAATTAAATGATCAAATTTTTTATATAAATTTAATATATAATGATCATTTCAAAAATCAACTAATCAGATTTAAGCCCATTATGCTATTTCAAGTCCTAACCTATAAGATGAAAATTCCTTTTTACTATTTTAAATTATTACTAAAGTTATTGTTAAGTTTGTTATTTGCTAATAAATTGTTATCATCTAAAGTACTAATATACCCATTCTTCTTCTTGATATTTTTTTTATAAAACCCTTAAACTGTAATCTTTTTAATATTTCTACCTAATTCATGAATTTTTATTACTACATAAAGACACATTTCTTCTAAATTAAAATTTTTTTCTACCTTAATTTTATCAAAAATTTGCTTAAATTGAGTCTAAATAGTTAAACTAAATCTTGTCAAATATGAAGTTAACTTAGTTAAGCTACTCATCATTAAAGCTTTTTATATTAATAATAATTTCTTAAATTTTATACTAGTTATATAACTTAGATATAATATTTTATATTTATTAAACATAAAACAAACTAGTACTAAATATTCTAAAGGAAACTGATAAATATTTGATTAAAATATAGTATTAAAACTAATAGGAAAAAAAGATTTAGATAAAATTAGAAAATTTATAATTAAAACTACTGTAATTTGTTATTTATGATGACAATTAAGAAGACAAAAAAGAAAAAATTAATGGGGATATTTCTGTTAGTTCATAATCAAATGATTATTAAAAGAAGAAACTGAAATTGCTCAATAATTAATCTTTTTACTTTTTATAATTTCATAGTTATGAAATTCTTTAGTCATTTTTTTGAAATTTTTTTTTTTATTTAATTCATTCTTAATTATTATTATATTTTTTGAAGTATATAAAAATAGTCATTGTAGAATTTTTTTAATTTTAGAATATAAAATATGTATTTGATTATCTCACATTTTTGATTCTAATAATTGTAAAAAATTCCGTCTTTCATATTTATTTATAATTTATCAGATTAACTAGATTAAGAAGTGAATTAAGAATTGGAATTTTAAATGTTGAATTAAGCACAATCAAATAAATATTATTAAAATTCTTATCATATTTACAATTTGATTTTTTTTACTATAATGAATGATGTGATAATTAACAAATTTTGGTCATAATTAACTGTGGCGCGGGCGCTAAATAAAGAAATACTGCGGCAAAAGATTATTATACCAAAAATGGATCTTTACTATGTATCAACGTAAAATTTAAAGAACATCCATTCAAGATATAAACAATTAGTAAATGGCGACTTTATTGACGGTTCCAAACAAGACTCTGCAATTAACTGGCTGGCTACGCATATTTTGTTTGGCGACTAATTTAGGAGAACTTTGGTTTGAGCGAAACCGCGGCTCGTACCAATAATCAATTATGTTGCTGAGGTTATTCTGACAGAGGAGTGTCTTGTAACAAATAATGAACCTGTCTTTTATATTCTGAACGTAGACAATGAGATTTTTACTTTAGTAATTGGATAGCCCAAAATTTTCGATAATATTATCTAAATGTTTTGTCCAAAATGTTCGAGTACGAAACCTCAGGGGTTTGCTTACTTAATATGGTAATCGTCATTGTTGAAAGAATTTCCAAACCAATGTATATTTCTATATGAGGATATTAACGGATGATACGTAAATTTTGTTCTAAAATATTCCAAACTTTTCGATTGTTGCACGCGATCAGCACATATAAACAGTGCCCCACCTGAGAACATTTCTCTCTTTACTTTTTTCGCCAACAAAAAAACAGTTCTGTCAAATATTATTTCGCTATTGTTGCCCTCCGAAGGAACGTAAAGAGAGTTTATTTATTATATATTAAGAAAAAACCTTACTACAAATGAAACAAACGAAAGACTTTCCCGATAACGCTACGCTTCTTACAAATGAAACGGAAGGATTTCTTCGATAACGCTACGCTACTGACAAACGGAACGGACAGACTTCTTCGATAAAGCTATACCGACAACGAAACGAAGGGCTTTTCGCATCTAGATTCAAAATTTAAGGTAGACGCGAGAAAAGTCCATTTCTGATACGGGTAGAACTGATAATGGGAGAAGTGTTATATAGTCATTTTTATATATCAAAGCAAGTTAATCTTTTAAATAGCGTTGGCTTTGATAAAAATAACACGATGCAGAGTAATTTATTACAAATCGTCCCTTTATTATTGACTATATAATAACCTCTTAACCCCTCGCTGATGTGCTGCTGATGTACTTTGGCGGCGCTCACCGAGTAATATTCTAAAAATCCAGAACCTAAATTAGTGGTCCCATTGGTACTGGCTGTTCTTCCTTAGGAGTAGTTAACCACGGAAGTTACTCACGCCCGACCCTTTATCTTTATTTTATTTAAACATAGAAACGGACGATTCCGAAATTATTCCGATAACTGACAAACGAAACGAACGACTTTCGCTTCAAAGATTCAATTAAGAAAAAAAAACCAAAAAAATTTTATTTTTATTTTAGATGGTCGCAATCCATAAAAAAAATTGCGGTAATGAATTAAATTTATTAAAAATTCTCAGAGAAAAAAAAAAAAAAAAAAAAAAAAAAAAATGTAATAAAAAAAAACCATAAGAAACAAATCTTGCATAATTATATATGCCGAGCTTTCTTTCAAATCATCCTAAAATTCTCTTTCATGGCAACTAACCATTTGACTTCGTCAGCATACAATCATTAACATAATTAAAACAATAGGGTTAAGTTCCTTTTGGAAGATTTTTTTTTTTTTTTTTAAAAACATTGGAAATGGAATTCGTCGAATGTGTACGATTTTGAAGGTTAATTATGAAATTTTCCTTTTAAAATTATGGCACTTAAAGACGGTACTTAGGTGATGTTAATTCTTTTAGAAAGAGCAAACATTTAATAATGCATCTATTAATATAATATATTTCATATTATAATAAATTTTACCTTGGATGTTCCGTATTATGGATTTTGCTGTAAACATTGAAGATAAGTAACTATAACATATAATATAATCCCAATCGATTCTCGAGTCTTTTCGCTTTTTCACGAAATTATTCGCAATTAATTATTGGGTAAAATAAAAATGTTGGCTCTTGTACCAAGTCGTTTTGTATGAAATCTGTAGACTTTTGGTCCCGTTACCAAAAAACATTTATTAATTGTAATTTATGCATTTAATAAGATTATTATTCATTAATTCTTCTATTTCTTATTCTCTTATATGCAGATATTGAATACTTATTAAACTCTGAAAAATTTTCTTAATATATTGTACTCATTAAAAGTATTTGCATGTATATGAAAATGTATTTTTTTTTTGTTTTTTTTTTAATAAATTATATTATACATTTGATGTTCACATTTAAAATAATATAAAAATAATTGCCACAACTCTTATCTATGTAATTAATCCAACAATTCTTCATCATCGTCATCTTCATTAAGTAATTTATCATCTTTAGGAAGAGCTGAACACGAGCATACACTTTCAAGGTATCCTGGTTCATTTTCGATTTTATCATAAACCGCTTGAGCTGCTATCTTTCTTGCTGCACGAATATTATTTGACTTCCCATGTGATACTGGCGAATCATGAATAAAAATAGTACAACGTTGAGATTCTGTCTCTTTTTCTTCAGAAGTATGATTTCTGTTATTGTAAAATGAATTAATAAGTAAAGAAAGATAAATCGAACCTTGGTCGGAAGCAAAAAAAAAAACCCCCCTCATACCTCAACAACAAACTGGTGCATCCTATTTTTTGCATATATTCTGTTAATTTCTTCACCGGATGAACTTTCAACGTTTCAGGAGTAACGTGTACATCTAAAATGGGTTTTATCCAAATATCAAATAATCTCTGCGGCGCAGCTGGATCAAACTCTGAATCCACGAAAACAGCTCCCAACATACTTTCAACAACGTCACTCATAACCTTTGGGACGTCCAAGTCGCTCCAATATTCTCCAACAGCTTCACCCTTATTTCGCATTCCATCTACAATATTTACAAAATCGGTCATGCCTGCCATCAACTTTGGCGAGAAATGAATAATATGTCTTTGAAGTCCTATTACTTCACAAACAGCTCCAAGGAACTGATTATTAACAGATGCATCTTTTAGATCTGTGATCATTCCTGGTGTCCCATTAGGATATTTTTCAAATAAATATTTGACCGTCATGAAATCCAATATAGCATCACCTAAAAATTCAAGACGTTGATAACATGAAGTTGAAGAGTTGGGTAAACTAGCGTGAGTGAGTGCTTCTACAATTAAAATTTTATTTTTAAATGTATGTTCACAAATCTTTTCAACTTTTTCAACGTCCACACACTTAAGAGCTTTTTGATTAACGCGTGGAGGGTTTTTATTCTTTTGATGAAAATGATCCCATTCTGTAATATCATCGAATGGAACTTCCACAGCCGCAGCACATTTTAGAGCAGCATCCACATTACCACTCAAATAAGCAGCGCCTAACATTGCTTCTATAACATCAGCAAGGGTTTTGTCAGCTAAACCATGTTTCTTTAACTGCTCCAACATCTCAGGTTCATCAACTGTGGTAATCATGTTGGTTGGTCTCCAAGCTCTGCGATTGAATGGGAGTGACGTTATGTATTCGTAGATATGCAGTTTCTTTGCACTTCGATAAAGCTGCTTGTTACAAATAATTCTAATACGTTGGCAATGAAGTTGACCTTCATGTTTATCAGGAAACATGACATACAACCTTATCGTCACACAAAATTTTAAGAATGAGTCACCTAACGTTTCGAGACGTTCGTAATTCATTTCCATGTTAGCGGATGGAGTCGTTAATGCCACTAATAATAAGTCATCTCTAATAGGCAAATCCATTTTTAATCTTAATTCTAATGCTAAAAGTTGAGAATTAATTCTAGTGAGAATAGCAGGTAACATAAGGGCGGATCTAAAGATGGAAGCAGTAATTGTATATTCTTTACAAAATTCCGGAATCACAAAGGTGGCTGTTCTACCTTTTAATGTTGGTATTGCTCCAGGTACGGGTTGTAAAAAATTCATAACCTTTGAAATTTTACGAACTTGAAATAAGGGTTGTTCCGGATGTTTCATATCTAAGTCAAATGACTTTTTATAATATTCTGCAAAATTTTTACAACCAACTTCACGTAAAACCATTCCCTCCGGAATAGGGGACAGTGGAGAAAGGTCATGTCGAATAGATTGAACAAAATAGCGCCGTAAGTTGTCGGAATAATCGATTATTACAGCATCCTCCATGTCAGATACTTTATTAAGGTCAATAGGTGCATGTTTTTCGTTAACAGCTATTTCCATACTTTCCCAATCAATGAAATCAAGTGTTTGCTCGTTTATAGGCGTATTTCTAACAAGTGGTACGACAAGGTATGGGAAATTTTCGAATTCGCAAATAAACTCTTTGTTGACTATGGAGGTAAATGTGCGCAAAGTAAATTTAAAAGCTATTTCCTTTTTTTCAAGACTGACTTTAATTGGAGTCGAATAAGGAAACAAATTAAGTACTTTATTAATTCCGTGGAAATATAACGTAATTGGTGGAGTTTCCGGAAATCGTTTACGTGTTAATAAACATAGGGTGCGATATGAGTATCCGTCATACTTTTCATCTTCCATGTCTAACTTTAGAATAGTGCCATAAAGTTCTTCTGGAATTTTGGGCTGATCTTCTTCAATAGTCCATAAGTCTGGAGATTTCAAGAGATACTCTCTCTTAGATTTTTTTGCTCCTTCAACCAAACCATGTTCATCCTTGGACGGTTTTGTCATTTCATGATCTTCTTCGATCCATACTTCTTCTGGTAATAGATGATCATCTAATGCCTTTTTTTCGTATAATTGTAGACAAGCTTTAAACGCAGCAGCTTTTTTTGCTTTACTTCTACTACTACAAACTTCACTAATAACTTCACGAATTGGTGCATTATTTGGTAATTTAAGATTACAAGTATATCCAACGTATTCTTTTGTAAAAGTAAAATCCGGTTGCAACATACAATAACTGTCTGCAGGAAGCCTTGAACAATAATAACCGATTAACGAAACAGCTGATTCATAACTCAATAATGCCCCAGTTGACGGAATGAGATAATAATGTCCTTCATCATCGTCGTCGTCATCAGAATCATCTATGATATCAGCCATCTGTGATTTGCGATCCTCAGGAAGCATCTGGCACCAAGCCTTCATATCGCTCTCAGCTTTTCGCATTTCTCTGAGTAAACCATGTTCTTTAAGATTTCCACTTTCTACCATTACAATATACTTTGAATCTTTACGGCGAGCCCTGCCTCGAGATTGAATATAAGCTCTCAATGTATTAAAGAAGTCAAACCTAATATTTGTTTTAAATAAATTATTTATTAAATTGAATATGTTAAAACATGTTTAAAATAAAAAAATTTTTATACCTAATAACGACATTGCAGGGTTGGATATCTAAACCTTCTTCTGCTACATTAGTGGCAATTAATAAATTGATTTTTCCATCGCGAAACGAGTTAATAGTTTTGTTCTGTTTCTTGAATTTCATTTGCAAGTCTCCTTCTTCACTAGAACCATGCCCAACCAAGACATCAGATTTTATAAAATCTAAAGTACCAATCTCTTCCAATAAATAATGCAACACATTAGCAGTATGACGACGTTCAACAAATACTATGCCACAAAATTCATCAGACTGTTTTTGAAAACAATCCAAAACTTTTATCAATTTTATGACTTTTGGGGATAGAATATTAGGATCGCATATAGGGGGTGGAAAAGACCAATCGCGGACAATATCTAACACCTTTTGCATTAGACGTTGTTCTTCTTGTAAATCCACATTATTAATCAACTCTGGAGCTAATAACTTTGCATCACATTTATTTTCATTTAATTCATCCAATATATATTTCCAGACCTGATCCGAACACCAAGGGCCAAGAACTTGGAGAGCTTGTACAGCACTTCCAAACGCTCTTTGAAATTTCTCTGCACCAAGACATTCTTTCCAAAGTGACTTGTAAAGTACAGTTTCTTCGTATTCTGGTGGAGGGTCATATCTTATTGCTATCTCCTCAGGACGATTGATAAATCTACGAAGTTCATCAGTATCACTAGCCGTGAATACTTTAGCATTTAGATTATGCTCAAGGTGACTACTATTTAAGTAATAATCAATGAAATCATTAACAAACACAGTTAAGAAAATTATTAGACCGAATGCAAGGAATTATGATACCTGGCAGAATGAAGAGTACTACGGGTATTTACAGGAGATGCCGTCATACCGAATATTTTTGGCCTTTGTTCTTCAGGACATCGATCATAAAACTCTCTCATAATTAAGTTATATGGATGTTTTTTCGAAGCGTGATGGCACTCATCAAAAACTAATAGATTAACCTTCGACATTCATTAAATAAATAATTTGATTACAATGAGATTCCTTTTATCCATCAAAATATACGAACGATAATCACTTAAAACTCGAAATATTTACCTGTGTCAAGGAAATGAATCCGTGACGTAGAATATTTAAAAAAATTTGTGCAGTCATAACTAATACATCAAAATTTTCAAAATAATTTCGCCATTGTTTTTCACTCCATAAATCGACACCCATTTCTCCACAAAAGTGCTTAACTTTTAAATCGCAATTTGCATTGATCACGCTGGCTTGTTGAAAAACCAGAGGTACGAGATTTACCAGAAAGAATGTGAGTTTGGTCTGAAAATATAGTATGTGATCATTAAAGGAAAGATAATATGCCAAGATGCCAATAAAAGTTTAATAAATAGATGATAAATACCTCTCGTCTAGTCATCCTAAGCTCCCGCTCATTTGTTGCAATTTCTTTTATTAACATTACAGCAATGAAAGTTTTTCCGCTTCCAGTATCCAAAACTGCTATTACATTATCATTCTTAGCTTTTTCGTACAGCTCAATTTGATATTTACGAGCAGTTAATGCCTGGTTCACAATCTCCGGAGTAGTCGGAACATTAACTTCGCTTAATTTGGTTTTCTTCTTGCTTTCGCCATTTTGTAATTCCGAATTATCATTCTCATTATCTGAACTAACGTTGAAAAGTTCGTCAATATTTATTGTACTAGGAGCGTTAGTCATTTTAAATAAGTTTACTTGCACCTTTAGTAAATATTAGAAAGGTACTTTGAGTGACTTATATTTATATTGATTCAGAAAGCGCTCGTAAAGGGAAATAAAAACAAAAAATTGTAATTGTGTCCAAAAGAGACTTTTTTGATAATCGGTTATAAACACGTGTAACCTATCGATAGGGATTAACCTAGTCTGGTTAATTAACTACAAAACCTATTTATATACGATTAAAAAAAAATTATTTTATAATGTGCATAATGGAAATTCGTTTTTATCATGAGGTGATAAAATCAAATGTTGATCTTTTTTATATCGTGTAACATTCGATTACTATTGATTTAAAGAAACTTTATTTCATTTGGGTAAAAAAAAAAAAAGATCTGGAGATCTCCCTGTGCTTTAAAGAAAAGTTAGATGAGAGCCGGATTCAAGGCTTTATTGATTAATTTATTTATATTGTCCAGTGCAAAATGTAGATACACCAATATATCAATAATGAAATTTTTTTTTTAAAAAATTAATATAAGCATTTGAAAATTTTAATTTATTATTTTGTATTTAAAATATATTTTAATATAATTTTTATTAAAATTTTATATTTTTGTAAAAAGTTTTACTAAGTATCAATTTCTTCAACTTCAAAATCTTCAATATCACTATCATTACTATCAAATAAAATTATATCATCAATTAAATCTTTGCTTTAGTAAGTGTTTTTCTCCAAAATCCAATAATAGTTTTAGAAGTAATCTTTACTTTAAATGCATATAATAATTTGTTTCTAATAGTAAGAAGATTAGGATGTGGACCAGTTCTAGCAACCTCTCCTTTTGCAACTGCTCAAATTCCTTCGATTGGTTGAAGTTCACAATGATATGGGGGAGTATAAAACAAGTTATGGTTATATTTACTAGCTATTTGATTACATGTACTTTTGCTTTATTTTGTTTTACTAATTCATAAAGTTCTGCTTTATTAGAACCTTCCAGAATCTCAATACCCTTTGACATCAACCATGTGATTAATTTATCTTTTCTTGAATTTGACATTGATATCTATTCAGCCTGACGTTTATAATAACAAGCTCCATCCATATGAATATTTACTGGCCTATATCGATCATTGATATTTGCACAAAGTTTATCAAAAAGGTCCTCAAAAATTTTAGCTGTAAAATTGTCATGATAGTCAACATGATCAGCCACATGATTAGAATTGCGAATAATTTCCAGAACATCTTGTCAAGCATCTGCATCAGCTCGTTTTCTTCTTCTTGATAAAGGTAGTTTAATTAATAGATCCCATAATAAAATAAAATTAGGTACAATTTCACCATAAATTTTGTTAATATTACCATTACGCATTACAATAATTGCTCTAAAAATAACAATTAAAGAATCATGCCCTGACTAATAGACAACTCCATGATGTGATATTCATATGCAGCTTGTAGTATAATGCAAATGACAATAAGATTCATCTAAAAAAACTTCTGGCCTAGTTGAAACATCATTATTGCCTTGTAAATTTTCAAATCATTTTCTTAAATAATGGTTCTGAAAAGTTACATTTGCAGGTAATTCATGTAAGATGTTTTGACGTTCACTACAACTGTAATAATAACCCAAAGTATGCAATATACAAATTAATTGTCATTTTGAAAGTAAATAGCCTTGTTCTTCTAATTTTTGCTATAAAACAGCTGTTGAAAGTGAAGTATCAGAAGCATTTGCTGGCGAAATTAAATCATGTATAACTTTCGCAATATTGGGGTCAAGTTCATTTTTTAGTTAGCTAAGTTTTTTATGTTCTGTTATCTTATGATAATATTGATGAAAATATTGATAGTTTTTATAATAAACAAAAAATGAATGATGTTAATGTATAGGATAATTAGTGATT